GAGAGAGAGAATTTTTAATATTTATTTTTTAGTTCTCGGTGGACACAACATCTTTGTTGGTATGTGGTGCTGAGGATGGAACCCGGGCCTCACGCATGCCAGGCGAGCGCACTACCGCTTGAGCCACATCCCCAGCCCCTGCATAATAGTTTCTGAAACATTGCTCTAGACAGGGGTAGGGAAACTTTTTAACAGCCAGACAGTAAATATTTTAGGCTTAGGGGGCCATGTAGTCTCTCTCACGACTTTAACTCTGCCAGAAGCACAGGAATGGGCCTGGCTGTGTTCCAATAAAACTTTATTTACAAAAACAGACAGGGGGCCGGACTCAGTCCATGGGCCATGGTTTGCCTTCCTCTAGGCCTCAATCTTTGCTGGCCAGAAAATACACAATTTCTTCCTTTATCCAGATGATCTTTACTGTCATTTGGGGATGGGAAGAGTCTTTTGTACACAATCTATATTCTCTGGCTTCTTAAAATTGTAATTAATGAGAGGTACTATGTCCCTCCACACCCACACACACACACACACACACACACACACACACACATTGTGTTTGTGGCAGCCCGAGGAATTCCGTGAAGATCTATCTATCAAACAATTGATGGATCATCGCTGTCACCTATATAGCTCTACATCTATCAATCATCTCTGCCATCTCTCACCTCTTTCTATCATCTGTATACCTCTATAGTCATCAATCATTTCCATCATTTATCATCTGTTTTTAACCACTCTCATCTCTTTATCAATCATGTCCATCTACACCATCCATCTCTGTATCTATCTTAATTTCTTAGCCTTTAAAAAATTGTCTAAGAATCGTTGTTTATCTACAGCCCGGTCCCTCACTGCCGCTCTACAAGGTGTGATGGGCACCGACTCGTCTCGTGGCTTTCAACTCCGATGTGCCCATGCTTGGACCCTAGACCTGCTGCTGTGTGACTGGGCACTGATTATTTAATCCCTCTCAGCCTCTGTCTTCTCATCTGCAAAATGGGAACAAGGCGATACCTCCCTCACACAAGTGCTCAGAAGAACGCTTGGCACCTGATAAGTGCTCCGTGTGTCAGGGACATGAGGTCACTCAGGAAAACACTGGACAGGGAGGTGGAGAGCCGGGCAGTCACGTAACTACCTCCTGTGGTCTGGATGTGGTTGGGGTGCCCCCGAGGGCCCCTATGTCGGGAGCTTGGCACTCAGGGTGGCAGTATCGGGAGGTGGTGGCACCGTTAAGAGGCGCGGCCCAAGGTGAGGACTTTCCTTTGAAGGAGGTACGGTTTGGATACGTGGTGCCCCCCCAAACTTCCGCGTTCATGTAGAAATATTCAGAGGGGAAGTGATTGATTTTGAGACCGGAACCTCGTTTGAATGGACTGACAGGGGGTGACTGTAGGCAGGTGGGGTGGCTGCAGAGGGGGGTCACTGGGGTTGTGTCCTGGGAGGGCACCTCTTCCCTGGGGTCTCTCTCCCTCTCTCTGCTTCCTGGCCACCATGAGCCGAGCGTCTCTCCTCGGCCACTCCCTTCCACCGTGACACCCTGCTTCCTCTTGGGCTCAGAACAATGGAGCCAGACCTCCATGAACTGAACCCCTGAAACCAGGAGCCAAAATACACCTCTCCTCCTCCAAACTGCTCTGGTGGGGTATTTTGATTCCAGTGACAAAAAGCTGACTATCCCAAAAGGGATTAGGAGAGCGCTCCTGCAGCCCCTTTAGGTTAGGAGGCAGCAAGCCTTCCCGCCCCCTCTGTCTGCTTCCTGGTTTGAAATGTGTACACTCCTCTGTACACTCTCGCATGATGTGACACCATCCGCTGCCCTCAGCAGAGGCCAAGCCAACAGGGTTACCTGATCTTGATCTTTGATCCTCAAAAACTGTGCTAAACCTCTTTTCTTCATAAGTATCCTGCCTCAGGCATTTCGTTCTAATGATGGAAATCTAACACAGTGCCCAAACGATAAGGGGCAGGGGGGGGGTGCCAACCTGCCCTTCGTTCTTCTTTCTAGATGTCAGTTTTTACCTTCTCATCATTCTGGCGTTATTTCTAAATAGTATTTTTGAACATTGAAAAAGGAGAGCTATCCCACTAGCAGTGGAAGAAAAGCAGACAGGAGCAGAGGGCTGGCTGGGAGAGAAACCCCAGTGCCCAAATGTAGCTGTCCCTGGTGCTCCGGGATCTGGACCCTCTGGGCAGGGCTGGGCAGGAGTCGGCCACTTCTGTCAGGTCCCAGGGTGTGGGACAGAATTCCTGAGGCGCCCTGGGCTGGGCCCTGAGCTCAGAGTTGCTCCAAGGAGGAAGGAGGAGGCCCACACCTTTTGATCCAGGAGACAGAGGACGGAAGGTGACTTTAGCTCTTCACGGCTGCTCCCGCCCACCACGGCTGTTTTGAACTCAGGTCCCTGCATCTCAAAGAGGGTGTCTGGTGACCCGCGTCTCTCTCTTCCCACCGCCTACCTGAGGGGGAGGAGGATGCTAATTAAAACTGGTGGGTAGCCCACCCCAGAGCACCTCGGGCCCTGGTTTCTATAGAAACTCCGTCCCCTGTCCCCTTCCGACACTCTCTCATCTCCTAACAACTCTATTCCTGGAGACTGGCCCTTCTCTGTCCTAACACTGTTCCTTCCAGCCAACCAGCAAATGCAGCCAGAGGTGTGCCCAATGACGGGGACCACCAGGTCCCCAGCAAACCTGCCCGTCAGCCCCGTGCGCTGGACGCCCTGTTTTCCAGCAGAGTCGTGGAATCCTAGGTGTTGGAGGGGACCTGGTTCCAGGTTGCCCTGCAGATACCCAAATCTGCAGGTGCTCCAGTCCCTTCCACAGAAGGCCATGGTCTCTGCACAGAACCTGCTCCCACCCTCCCTCATACCTGCAGCCATCTCTGGATTCCATGCAATCCTCCATACGAGGTCAACGTTCTGTGAATGGCCGTTAGGTGCCTTGTTTAGGGACCGAGGACAGATGGAAAGTCTGTGCGGGTGTCATACAGATGCAATTAAAACATTTTTTTTTTTTTTTGATGGCTGGTTGGTGGAATCAGAGGTTCCTAGTTTGCACGGGCTGCCTGGACACAGTGCCCCAGGCTGGCGGGCTCACGGTCTCCGTTCTGGAGGCCTGAAGCCTGAGGTCCAGGTGTGGGCAAGGGTGGGTTCCTCTGAGGCCCAGTGGCCTGTCTCCCTGTCTTCATACCCTCTTCCCCGAGTGTCTGTGTCTGGATCCCGCCTTGCACGAGGACACCAGCCCCAATGTCAGGGATGCCCCCCTCCCCCTGCGGCCTCACTTCCACTCCCTCAGCTTTGTAAGACCCTGTCTGTAACCAGGCCTCGTTCTGAAGTCCTGGGGGTGAGGGTTCCAGTCTGTCTTTTGGGGGGACGCGGTTCCAACCACCCCAGGCTCTAGCCGGGGAGGCCTGGCTGGTCTTCAAGCCCCACCATGGCTTGCTCCCAACTTACCCCAGTAAACCCGGCTTCCCCGTGGGTGAAGCAGATGACCAGGTCCCCGGGAAGCTGCTGTGTGGCGGGTACATGAGGTGGCACTTCCCACGGTGCCTCATCAATCCCCTTGTGATTGCTAGAGGGTAGCAGGGGCCCGTCTGCCACTCTCCCAGTGTCCCTTGGTTCACCTGGGAGGGGCCTGCAGGGACCTGGGCCATGGAGATCCAGGGCGCCCGCCTCTCTCTCCAGGAAGTTCTCTGCTGCCATAGGACCTTGCTCAGCCCACAGCCCACAGGCCCAAAGTGCCAAATATGAGTCCCTCCAGGGGCGAACCTCAAGCCCGAGGGACAGGGTCAGCAGGTAAGTCYTCCACCTTCCCCACACGTGTATCCACGGGCTGGCCCCCTGCGGATGAGCGCAGCCGCTTTTCTTCTCCTGGTCTCTGTGTGCTGCCTGGGTCCTCCCCCAGGGCTCTATCTGCACCCAAGTCCCTCCCCTGGGATTGGCTTTGGAGGAATTCAGGACAAAGAGGAACCTGTTGGTAGGGGTTTGGGGTTTGTGCAAGGGACACAGGAAGGAGTGGTGGGCACAGGACTGAACCAGGGTTTCTTTTGGCACTAGAGCCCCGGCCTCATTGACGAGCACCCCATCTCTTGTCCTGAGCGCCACCGTACCCCTGTCCTCCCTCAATCCGCTCATGCTTTTTGGCCTCTGTTCTATCACAGCAAAGAAGCCGTCCCTCCCGTCCTCTCCTGAGGACATAACTGGCCCCAAATTACTTCAGAGCAGGAGAGAGACCCTGGAGACCGCCCAGGTCCCTTCCTGCAATACCCAATATGGCCAGGAGGGGGCGACACATCTCAGTCCACATGGCATTTACCTGGGTCAAGCCAAGCAGTTTTGGAGCGAAGAGTCACAGTGGCAGTGTGTGAGCCAGGGGGAAATAGTCTGTATTCCTATTTGTCAGCACTGGGGTGACATGAAGTGTGCCATCCAATGTCCTAAAGCTTCCGTTTCAAAAGGCTGTGATAAGGATTAAATGAGATAGCACCTGTATTGGGTTAGCACACTGCGTGGCTCATGGACGGCCACCAATAAGTGGGAGATGTTAGTACAAAGGGTTAAATAGGCACACAAGCCTTTGTCATGCGGAGGTCAGGAAGGAGCTGTTGATTCAGTCTTGGAAATAAGGGAGGGACAATTTAACCTGGGCCTGAAGAACAGCAGCTGTTGCCTAGCAGGCATCAAGCCCTGGGCTTAATCCCCATGGCAACCATGATGCTCATATAAATGGGAAGAGACGGTCCAGAGATGGAGTGAGAAAGCAGAAGCCTGATGGCCTCACGTGATCTCCTGGATCCAGCTTTGCCTGAAGCCAGAACTTCCCCTGTTGTTTCAACTACTTGGAATTAATTTCCTGACACTTGTCTTCTCTTTTGGCGGATTCTCCTCTCAGTCCTTGGATCCATACACTTTCATGTTTTAGCTGTTCTTCCTTCCAGGACCCCACACTAAGGTTACCCACAAGGTCCAGCATGACTGGCTGTCGGATCCCACTGTGGCAGGCTGTAGGCCAGCGCTCTACCACTGAGCCACCACCCCAGCCCCTCCATCCTTTATATCCCACGTTCATGAAGGAAAAAAAAAAAAACCCACCAATACATGGCACAAATAAATAATCTTTAATTTCAGTAAACAGCTCCTCATCACGCTGGACGGTACACGGGGGGAAAGACACGAAGCATCCCACAGGGAGAAGGAGAGGCCTGTGCTAATTCTACACTAATTCCCCAGCCGTGAGAGGGGCCTCGGTCCACACAGGGACACGCCAAGCTCCTCCGAGTGTGGTTAAGATGACGGTCATGGAGGGGGGGGTGCGGCCACGGGACTCCACGGAAGTCCTCGGTGGGTCTCCATCGCCAGGATTCACGTCCTGGTGACTCGTCACACACACATATCCCCGTCACCCGAGGGGGGGGTCTTCGACAGACAGGGGACACAGGGACTGGGTGAGATCTCACAGGGTGCGGGAGGCGGACAGAGGGCATGCTCAGGGCGGGGGTCCTGGCCGGTACCTGCTCTCCAGGACACGTAGGCACACAAGTGTTCAGCGGAGGGGCACATGCACACAGACGGACACGCACAGGGCCCTGGGGAGTCAGTCCCCTGGGGTAAGCTGACACAGGGACAGGTTCAGTTCAGCCAGGAGAGGGCTCTCACGCTTGGGGTAGTTCTGCGTGTGTGTGGCTATTTGGTTTCTCCAAATAGTCCGATCTCTATGTGACAGTCACTAAGGAGGGGACGACGATACTTACACCTTTGGAGAGAGGTATTGGGTTTGGAGAGCCCCAGGGAACAGCCGCCCGTCGTCAGGGGTGGGTTTCAGGCCGGGGTGGATCAGGGCTCCCACCTGCTGGCCAAACTCTCGCTCAACTTAGTCTTGGAGATTGGCTCACTCAGGAGGCCCTTTCTCCCCTCGGGGTACAAAGTGCATTTGGGGACAAGGGCATCAACAGGAGCAGCGCTGGCATTAAGTCCCACGGCCCACTCAGCGCTCGAGATGTCATGGGGCTTCTAGAAAGTTCTCAGGCCTCCCTCAGTGAGGGCGGCCGTTGGGTGGTCAATAGTCTGCTTCCTCTCGGTTCTGAGAGGTCGTAGGTGAGCGTGCGTGTGTGTGTGTGTGTGTGTGTGTGTGTGTGTGTGTGTGTGTGTGTCTGTGCGGAAGGGTGTGTGCGGGTGTGGATGGAAATAGGGAGGTGACACATTTTTTCTTTTTTTTTTTTTAAAGCAATTGAAAGCCTTCGCCCCTGCGGCCCTCAGGTCACCTCCAGGGAGGCAGGGGACACGCGGTCACACTCCGCCCGTGACCTCAGGCTGTGCCACTGCTCCACGGCCGTGCGGTGGGTGTTGAGCATCCGTCGCCAGTGGTTGGACTCGGAGGGCCCCGAGGAGTACTGGCCGATGACAATCCTCCCGATGAAGTCGTTGCTGCTCTTCATGTTGTGGCCGAACACTAGGGCGCAGGAGGGGAGAGAAGGGGGGACGGGACAGAGAGCAGGGACAAGACAGAGACCGTTAGCGGACACACTGCGCCTCTGCGTATGGGCTCGCTGCTCCGGGGACGGGGTCCGTTTCTTTCATGGAGCGAGTTCCCCGATGCCCTCCCCTCCTCTTCCTGTGGGTCTCTCTGCAAAAGCCACGTGGGGTCTCCCGCTGTCCCTGACCACGCAGGCCCTGTCCCCACGGCCCAGTCTTTCCCCGGCTCCCCTTTCAGCCAGGTAGCAGCAATACCTGTCACAATGCACTTAGGGTCCCCTGCCTTGCCAGGCTGCCTCAAGAGCAGTGGATGGTTCTAGAAGCTGTTCTGGCGAGCTGCTGCAGTCCAGTTGAGTGGGCACCCCTGAGCTGCTCAGGGGTGGCCCCGTTGGCACTGCGGGCTGGATTACCTTTTGCTGTGCCTTCTAAGAAACAGAGCGGCGTCTCTGGGGTCTAGCAGGTAGATGCTAAGAGCAGCCCTCACCTCCAGCTGGGACCACCCCCAAAGTCTCCCAAAGGTGGGGAGACATTCATCCCCATGAGAACCACCAGGGTGAAGCTCTGGGGTGAAACTCAGCTCTGTCCTTTGACAGAGCCCTGTGACTCTGAGGCGAGGAAGTCTCTCTGAACCTCAGATTCTTCTTTGGTGCAAGAGGATTCTTGGTAGGACATCATCTCACAGGTCGAGGTGAGGTTTCAAGGAAATCGTGTGTGGAAAGCTCCCAGCTCCCATCACCGAGCCCCTAGCAAGTGGTTTCATAGCAAGTGCTCAGTCACGCCTGCACCGCCACTGGGCCCTGAACTTCTGTCCCAGGAATGAGGCAAGTGGGCTGAGAGAAGCGGCCGGGGCAACTTCTGCCACCTCCGTGAGGCCCGTCTCCTTGGAAGGCTGCTTTGTAAATTCCCAGCACAAGCTTCATTTATGTCCTTTAAGCCCTAATGAGATGGTTCGCTTGATTTATCTTCCCGGCCAAGTTCTGTCTAATTCTTTCCGCGCATGTGGGTAGCCGGAGCATAGCAGCCCGCTAATGGGGGAGCAGGCTGTGTCGCTTATAAATGAAGGGCCGCAGAGGGGGAGAGATCACACAGTCACCCAGCGTGAGCCCAGCCAAGGCAGGCGGGATCCCAGGAGGGAGGCCGATTATCAGATAAAACAGCTAAAATATGCAGCCCCAGACAGAGCTGGAACACTAACAAGCCCCGTTCTCCCCTCATGGGGCTCATGCCAAGCATTTCAAATGATAAAAATGGGGGGGAAAAAAGAGGAGTGGAAAAATAAAGACAAGACCCTCCSGCCCCCATCCGATATCTAAGAACCAAGAAGACCTCATGACCTAGGATCAGTCAAACGCCAAGCCACGTCCCTCCAGGGGTCCTGGGCCCCRTCAGCTCTCTGGGGGAAAAATGGACCACGTATATTTTTTGTACATTTGGTAAGGTGCCCAGTCCACACAGGTGGGCTTCATTTACATGAAAATCCCTTACAAAAGAAGGGAAATGTCAGGAATAGAATCTTTGTTTAATAAAGGATTAAGACTCTTTGATGCACTTGAAAAACAATTTTAAAAACAGCACTCGGGACTTCTCTGAACCGTGCTTAGTGGGGGATACAGGTTGGAGGWCACCAAACAAGAATGAATTCCAGAGTCCCCTTCCCCGAGGGCATCAGATCTAACAGGATACAATGATGAGACTGTTTTAGGCTCCATTTGTTTTTTTTTTCTTCCAGGGGCAAAACATTCTCTCCTTCTCTGCCTCTCCAAAGCTTGAGGATATCAATGAATAACATACCTAGTAAATCGGTATGGGTTTTATATCTTTGGAAGAGGGTTTTTTTTTTTTTTTTTTTTTTTTTTTTATAATTCAGGGGCACTTGCCCACTGAGCCCCAGCCCCAGCCCTACTCTGTATTTTATTTAGAGACAGGGTCTCACTGAGTTGCTTAGCACCTTGCTGTTGCTGAGGCTGGCTTTGAACTCGCGATCCTCCTGCCTCAGCCTCCCAAGCCGCTGGAATGACAGGCATGCACCACCACGTCTGGCAGGAAAGGGGTTTTAAGAAAGGAAATCTTAAGGACTCTCATGTGCTCTTGCTGGAAGAGCAAGTTGGTTCRACTTTTGGGGTATCTGTTCAAAATAAAAGCGTCCTAACTTGAGTCCCAACACATTCCCTTAGTAGAGGACTGTTATCCCACAGAATTTTCTGCACAAATGCACATACAAGTATATTTTACACAGATGGGTTTGGCAGAGTCGAGTCTCCAAGCTGGATCCAGTCCACCACCTGTTTTTGTAAATAAAGTTTTATTGGAACATTGCCAAACCCATTTGCTCATGTATTATTATTATTATTTTTTAACATCATGTCTCTTTTCGGCTTCAGAGCAGGAAGGATGTCATTCTGTTCAGGGTGCTGTCACAAAATGCCAAAAACTGAGTGGCTTATAAACAACAGAAAATTCATTTCTCCCCCATGACTCGGGAGGCTGAGGCAGGAGGATTGTGAGTTCAAAGCCAGCCTCAGCAACTTAGCCAGGGCCTAGGCAACTGAGAGGCAGAGCACTTGCCTAGTGTGTGTGAGCACTGGGTTCGATTCTCAGCACCGCAGACAAATAAGTGAATAAAATAAAGGTCCATCAACAACTAAAAAAAAAAATATTTTTTAAAAAGGGAGGGTGATTGGGGATGTGGCTCTTTACCAGTGTAAAGCACCCCTGGATTTAATCCTTGGCACCAAAATAATAATAATAATAATAATAATAATAATAATAATAATAAAGAAAGGAAGGAAGAGAAGAAGAAATAAAAATTATTTCTTATAGTTCCGGAGGCTGAGAAGATCAAGGAGCAGGCGAATCTGGACTCTGGGGAGGGCCCTTTTCCTCATGGATGGTGTCTTCCCACCACTTTCCAATATGGTAGAAGGGACAAGCCAGCTCCCTGGGGTCTTTTGTAAGGACACGGTTCCTTTTGGGAGCGTGGATCTCAGGACCTAATGGCCACCGCAGGCCTGGCTCGTGACATCACACTGGGGACTGCACTCCAACAGGAACTGGACTCACGTCTGAATTCCGTCTGAACCCTTTTGCTATAATCGACTGTCACCGTGAACACGATGGCTTTGCTCGGTTCTGTGGGTCCCTCTAGTGAAGACTGGACCAGAGGGTGGTTTTGAGGACCTTGTAGACTGTAGACCCCTCGCTCATCAAATGTCCCCAACTGGTTTGCCCCCCTTTCTTTTTTTTGTGGGGGGTGAGGGTGCCAGGAACTGAACCCAGGGGCTCTTAACCACTGAGTCACATCCACAGCCCTTTTTATTTTATTATATTTTGGGACAGGGTCTCACTAAGTTGCTTCTAAGTTGCTGAGGCTGGCTTTGAACTCACGATCCTTCCTTTTTTTTTTTTTCATAGATTTTATTTATTTATTTATTCAATCATTTATTTGTTGGTTTATATGGGGTGCTGAGATTCGAACCTAGTGCCTCACACATGCTAGGCAAGTGTTCGACCCCTGAGCCACAACCCCAACCCTCACAATCCTTTCTTATCTCATCTCCCTACTCCCTTAGTGCTACTTCCTGTGGTCAAGTGATCATCTGAGAATCCACTTTGGGAGGTGTCTACACTGGCCCTGAGGAGCGCTAAGAATCTCATATAATAATAGCATGGAAATCCACATTACTGTTAAAAATGAGACATACCCAAGTACATGAGATGGAAAATTCTCTAAGATGTTGCTGGGAGACAAAAGTGGGTTTTAAAACTGTACATATAAATACAACCTCTTTTTGTTAAAGCGGAGCTTTACATTTAAGAAAACTCTGTATGAAGAGTGTCAGTTCACCCAGCGGTGGAGAGCAACTTTCTCTAGAGCRAAATCGCTCTGATTTCTGTATTACATAAGTATGTACAGTTTGAACTTCTTATCACCAGTACATATTTTGGAAAGAAAACAAAGAAAAAAAAATAAGTGGCTCTTAGAGAATTCACATCTAAATCGCCAGAAGGGAAGAAAACGAAAAGGAAGTCTAATAGCCTACGCGTCTTATCCCAATTTGCAAAGTCACTTGGCTGGTGAATCACTTGGCTCTGGGGAGGCGAGGTGGGCGCGCTGGAGGGACGCAGCCCTCCCCAGGGGAGGGCAGCGCGGTCCCGGCCATCTGAGTTGACTGGCAGGCGTCAGCCTTTGCAGATCACTTCGTAGAGTGAGGGCACCCGGAACATTTTTGAAAAAAAAAAAAGTTCAAAATTTAAAATGCAAATTTATAAGCTGAAGCTGATGTAGAACTAATGACTTCTATAATAAAAGTCTCTTGGGAGAATACCAAGATTCGCCCTCCCTGGCTGGAGTGTGTTGCTGGAGAGAACAGAGTATTAAKATTTGACATCTAGAATCCAAAACAGGGAAGAGAGACAAGGAGACAGAGACCCCTGCCCCCTCCCTTAATGGCTAAGGAAATTGAGTCAAAAGGCTAGCAGGATTTGAAAGCAATGAACATGCGAAAGAAGCCAATTTCTTATAACTAGGTAGGTCCCTAAATTTCCTCTCTTTAGAAATATTCAGAATTACAATTTTTGTTCTAAGCACCTCCCTACCCATTTCTCCTACTCACTGTTACCGGGGCCATATTGGAATGTAGACRTGAATGTATTACTGGATAATGGATTGACTCCAAGTGCACCCTGGTCATCAGGAACCCATTTCCCAACAACCTGAACAACCTAGATTATGGCAGAAAAATAATAAAAAAAAAAACTAACAAACAATCTTGCACCCCAAATATCCAATAGAACAGATGACATACAGCCGGTACACAAAATTCATGGAGAGGAATTCTCAGGCTTTCTCTAAGAACCTATTTACCGTATTTTACAGCAAAATCATTGCAGATTTGAAATGAGTTTTTAACTTAAGAGTTAATGACAGATCTGGTCTACTTCTGTGTTGCCAATCGCCATAGCCACCCAGGCCAGGGA